AATCCCCCCATCTTGTACAAGTCCCCCCTAATCACCCCTCACCAAATTCTGCCTCCTAAAATAAATCATACGCCACTGCCAATGTCCAAAAGTCTTCCTCCCAGTACAAAGTCTCTCTTCTCCAAACCCCCCTCCTAATCCTCTTCTCCCTCCCCCTCTTTGCACAAATATCATCATCCCCAGCACAACTGACTCCACCTCACATGATACCACTGCGCCCAGGGCAGCCGCCCCTCCTGCCCACCCCTTACCCCAGCCCTGCCCCTACCCTCCCCGACACTAGATATCGCTGTGACCTGTCAGATAGCTATATTGCAGGTTGACAGGGAATACGTTACATGTTCCTTGATATACAGAAGTACCAGAATATTTCAAGGTAGCTGGAGTAGGGCAGAAGATGAGAAAGAGAAAGGTAATTTAAAGAATAACTCAGGGATTAAATAATAAAAATGTTCCCCCCAGCTGATGAAAGGTATATTTCTAGTTTTTCTAGGAGATGATCCAATACAGAGTAATAGTTCCCTTATTCCACGATCCTCCATTCTCTTTTGCTAGGAGCTGGACCTAGATCATCAGGTACAATGCAGGACCAGATACCACATTATCAGGACAGGATATGGCTGCTGGTCCTGCATTGTCTAGGATGATGTTGATGGTGGGATCCAAGGTTAAAGCGGAGTAACAGACCCTGCCCCCCCAGCAAAAACAAATTAAACGTCAGGAGCTACAAATACTGTAACTGCTGACTTTTAATATTAGGGCACTTACCTGTCCAGTGATCCAGCGGTGTCCTCACTCCGAGCCGATTCTTCAATTGGCTATAGGGAGCTGGCACCGCCATCTTGACTAAGGGAAACTGGCAGTGAATAATTATAAAATAACCACCTCCAAATATAATAATTACCCTAACAACACAATCAACACCCTCCCCTGAAGGTGTACAAAATCATACAAGTGAAAGTGTTTTTACAAATTCATCCAATAACATAATAACTGTGCAATATAATCTCTAAACCATCCATCCGCTATTCGCCTTAATCCCCAAATAAAAAATAAAATATATTTTTTTTTTGACTGGCGGCCATTTTGGAGAAGGGAAAAGATCGTGGAGGTACACCTGGACGTTTCCCTGGATGGCTGTGAGATTCCTTTCATTCCCTAACAAGCGATTTTAAAAGCTTTACAATGTGAGCAGTTTAAATAAAGTACATTTTGTATATTTGATTGGCGGTATTACACTATGTTCTGTATGTTTTCTTGGTGACACTGAAAGCAGAGTGTCTGAGGAGTTCAGAGAGTGTCGTGGCAACAGGATAGATCTGAGGAAAGATCCATGAGAGGGCTAGCCTGTGGAGTTCCTGGAGTATTATAAGCATACTTTATTGGGATGGTTGGTAAGGGTACCCTTACTACAAATAGAAGTGTGCACTAAATTTTTGCTTTGGTTTTGATGTGGCACTGATGAGTGTTATATACACTTATTTGATTCTCACTGATTCACGTTTGTTTCACGTTTTTCACCATTTTTCACGAATATTCACTTTACTAATTGTATGAAGTTTTTTTAAAATAATTTTATTTATTTATATAAGGTAATGCACTATATGAATTTTTCTTTTTTTTGAGGTGGATATTTTTTGGATATCGTTGGAAGAATTGTTTGGATTTTTCTCTGGTGGACTTTAAAGAAATTTTAGTGGACTTTAATTTTGTAGTGGACTTTATAAAAATATATTTTTATTTTTTATTTGGGGATTAAGGCGAATAGTGGATGGATGGTTTAGAGATTATATTGCACAGTTATTATGTTATTGGATGAATTTGTAAAAACACTTTCACTTGTATGAAACTGGCAGTGAAGCCTTGCGGCTTCACAGCCTGTTTCCTACTGAGCATGCGTGAAGCTTGCTGCACTTTGTGAATAGGCCATAGTCCTCTGGGACCTGTGAAGTGTCCCAGAGGGCTGCTAGGGGGCCAAACTTCCGGCTCAGTTTGCCTCCACGAACTGAGCCGGTGGGGGAGTGGGTCAAAGTCAAAAGGTTCCAAATGTGGCAGTGGAGGGGGGGGGAGGCAGTTAAATGGTGCTTCCACTTTTGGGTGGATCTCCGCTTTAAGGTTAGTATTACCTTAGACTTTTTATCACTTCACAGAGTTAGGATTAAGGCAATGTAAAGTCCAAAATAAATCTACTGAGTAAAATAATTCCTTTTGAGTACTGGGTTAGGGTCATGATTGTTGGATAAGTTCTTAGTAGATTGGCAATATATAGGCACTTATTCATCTATACCATTCCAGCCATTTAAGATACTACCAGTTGCTTAGTAACAAAACTTGGATGTGTAAAAAGAAAATAGCATGGCATCTTTTTGTCTTTAAAAGCTTGTATGTTGACACAGTGGATTTTATAGCACGTCACACAGCACAGGTGTGCTCTGTTCCTTAAACAAACTAAACCTTTCATACAATGGAAAGCTGCAATGGTTAAGTAGACATTAAATGGTGCAGGTGAGAAAAAATGTGTTTAACAAGAAGTAAATAGCGTGTGATTGGTTCCATGAAATAAATGACATGTTGCCCTATTATAGTCTGGAGTAACAAATGTGTAACAATTTTTTGGTAGGTTTGCCTTGTCTAAATCAGGTAACAGAAATGTTATCCTAAACGATGAGTGCCAACAATGCTGTGTGAAAAATAAATTCTAATTGTGTCAACATTTACTTACTTGATTGTAGTTTTGAACTGATATTTGAATCCTTCCTGCTAGATCTAAATCCCAAATTAAACTTACAATGAATTGATCAAGTTTACCTCCGGGTATGTAAAAGCAAGGAAATGTACACAGGAAAGCATAAATACATGTGCAAATAAAAAGTGAACATACAGTGTACACTATGGGGATGATTTACTAAAACTGGAGCATGCAAAAACTGGTGCAACTTGCATAGAAACTGGGTTTTATTGCCAAAGCCTAATTGAACAAGCTGAAGTAAGAAAATGACTACCTATCATGAACAGCTGCACCAGATTTGGAGTGCTCCAGTTTTAGTAAATCTCCCCCCTATGTGTTCTAGCTGCTTCCTCTGATACCCCAGTGAAGGACCTGGTAAATAAATGTATTTTGATAATACTACTTACCAAAGAACGGTAGCCTAAACTCTGTTTTATCATAACAATCAATATTTCACATGAAAAAGGGGTAAATATATATTTTCTGCATTTAAAGTGACCCTAAAAAAACCTAAAACAGTTAAAATGGTTTCTGTTTTGCTGATCTTCTTCTTCTTCCTCTTCTTCTTCTTCCTCTTCTTCCTCCCAATTTTACCAGAATTAAGTGATGATAATACAGTCAAGCTAAAGTTTAGGAATTTTTTTAACTATTTTTGCATAGTTACCTTGGATTAATGCAGTGTTTCTCAACTCCAGTCCTCATGGACCCCCAACAGGTCATGTTTTCAGGATTTCCCTCAGATGAAACAGCTGTGGTAATTACTAAGGCAGTGAAACTGATCAAATCACCTGTGCAAAATAATGGAAATCCTGAAAACATGACCTGTTGGGGGTCCAAGAGGACTGGAGTTGAGAAACACTGGACTAATGTAAGTTTGCATTTCTCATACACAGGGCCAGCACTACCACTAGGCAAACTAGGCAGCCGTCTAGGGGGCACTGGCACATAGGGGCGCAGCTATGGCCGCTGGTTTTCTCTGCTCTACGCCATGGCCGGATCTGGGGGGGGGGGGGGGTTCTGGGATGGGCTTTGGGCGGATTTGGGTAAAGTGGAAGGATTATATGCTGATAAGGCTAATTTGGAAGGGGTGTAGCTAAAGGTGGGATTTGAGGGAATATGAGCTAGGTGGGGGGATTAAAGGAAGAGGAGTTATGCTGTGAGGGGGGAATGGGGGATTTGTGCTAGGAGAGAGGATTGGGGGGATTTGTGTTAGGAGGGAAGATTTGTGCTAGAAGGAGGGACTGAGGGGACTTGTGCTAGGAGAGGAGATTGGGGGGGGGGAGTTGTGTTAGAAGAGAGAGGATGGGGGGGGGGATTTGTGCTAGGAGAGAGGATTGGGGGGGAATTTGTGCTAGGAGAGTGGTTGGAGGGGGATGGGGGAGATGGGGGGGTTGTGTTAGGAGGAGGGGGATGGGGGGATTGTTGGGAGTGAATATATGCTTGGAGGAAGGATTTGTGCTGGGAAGGGTAATTTGGAGGGTGATCTGCTAGGAGGTGGGATTGGGGGGATTTGTGCTAGCAGGGGGGATTTAGGGGAGAGGATTTGTGAAAGGGTAGAAAAGTTGAGGGGGAAGAGGATGTGTGCTAGGAGGGATAAAGTAAACCTATAGGTGAAGTTTTATTTTTTGGAGTGGGGTTGGGGTGGGGGCGCAAACAGCTGCCTAGGGCGCAAAATACTCTAGCACTGGCCCTGCTTATACCTGACCGGTGCCTATGGAAGCTGGAAAGCACTGTAGTAGGCACCACTGCAACAGTGTTTGTCACCAGCTTCTGGGTCACGTGCTTAGTGGCTACACTGCTGTTTAGTGAATAAAGGGGGTCTTGGTGATTGGAGAAGATGGAGATTGTGAAGTCACCACCCTGTTTCTTTACCTTGTCCAATCAGAGAATGCTTTGCATTCACTGAGAAAATTCTCTGAATGGTACTCATGCTGAGTGAGCAACCTCCTGTGTTCACTAAGCAGCAGGGCAGCTGCTAGCAATGGGACTCAGAAATTAACAGCAATCACTGTAGTTGCAGTGGCCAATTGCAGTGCTCGCTTAAGGGTCTTATATGGATTCAGAGGGGGCACTGTGCTATTTTGTGGGTTTGCATAGGGTGCCCCTCAAAATTCATAGCAGATTTTTGCCCAGGTATGAAGCGTGGTTGAGTAGGAAAGGGGGGGGGGGGGGGGGGCATACAAACCACTCCTAAATCCTATATATGGCCACATACTCTGAACAAAAAAAAAAAGAAAAAATGGCATAGGGTTCCCCTTCAGACCCATACCAGACCCTTAAGCTGCACTTTACATGAGTGTGTGTGTATGGGGGGAGGGCATTGAGGGCAGGGGACTGCATGGTATGTATGTGTGAGGAGGGGAGCAGAAGGCTGCATTATTTGTGAGCGTAAAATCCCCCCCCCCCTTTTCCTTTGATCCACTTGCCAACTTGCAATCTCTTCCTGTATTCCTTGCCTGTTCCCTTTAAACCTGCTCCTCTCTTCTTTTCAGTCTTTTTTTTCCCTTTATTAGGTTTTCTGCTCACAGCTTCTGTCATCTGGAGCTATAAAGGTAGGGTTCCCCTTTTCCCCTCCTGTCACTGATTCAGATTGGCTTTATCTATTCATTTTGCAGAGCTTATAAATAAATCAATCAATTAACTATTATGTTTTAAAAAAGGCATTTGAATAAAAAGCTCAAACTGCTGGTAGGGTGTATCTTCAGGTCCTATTTAAAGTGTTACTAAACCCAGGACCCTGCATTTACTATATCTGGTCTCCCACAGTACACACTACATGGAAATGCAATTATTTTAGTAATATAAATCTTTTCTCATCTGCAGTTAGAGCAGTCTTGTGACTTCTATCAGTGTACAGCTGAGCACTGGTTACAGCTTGTAGGGGGAGTTTTCTTTCTGCTCTAGGAGGATGCAGGACCCCTGACTTAATTACCTTTAGTGACCAAATGCAGTATTTTCCATTTAAAATCAATGATTTACATTCAGACAGAATGGAATTTATTACTTTTACTTTTATTTTATTTTTTGCCCCATTCGCTTGAATAAAGGTACATGCGCTTTCACTGGGCAAATGGCTATGCACATTTTTTCAAAATCAATAATCAAATGTGGAAAAGATTGCTGACCCCTCAATTAGACTATCAGTACTTAGGGAACCATAGCTGGCATAATTGCCTTACCCGCTACATATTAAAAATACAGTATATCAGTCTTAGATAATTTATCACATATTTATGCTATACCATCTTGATTGTTAGTTTTGGCTTAGTTGTTTTCCTAAGCTTACACATTTTAATTATAATTGTATTTATAATCTTCTATTTTAATTGTAAGTTTAGCCACTTGCCGCCCTGCTACAGAACATTTGCTGTATCACGGCGGAATGTGCAAACTCAGTCACGTATATGCACATGATTGTGCTTGCTTCGGCTTAGGAACACCCAGCGCACCCCTCCTGTGACCATTGTGTACACTGGACACACTGGATCACTGTTACCAGTAACTGGTCATAGCGATCACATGATAACAAAATAGACAACCTGTCATCAATGGCTTTCCATTTTTGAACAGCTTGCTTACTGTTGTGATTTGTGATCTTCCCACAGCGATCATATGCTACCTGTATCATGTAATTAGCTGTAGCCAATCACAGATCACAACTATGTGTGACACAACCATTCAAGACAGCTAAAGCTACTGCTTATACAGTGATCATCATTGTATAACCAGTAGCAGTATAACAAAAAAAAAATCCCTGATCACCCCCCAGAGTAGTGCAGTGTCACTATGCTGACACTGAGCTACTCTGATGACAGGATGTAAAAAAAAATAGTAAAAAAAAAAAGAACAAATATTAGAAAAAGAAAACAATGTTTAAAAAAATTGAAGAAAAAATTATTTACTTTTTTTTCTACATACTGTAATGTCATCAGTCAGTATCCCTGATCACTGCCACACCAGCCATATGATGATGTTATACTGCACTGGAGACAGGCTGTAAAAAGAAAAACAAATCATATTTAATTTCTTAATTTTCCCAAAAATTGTGACAAAAATTACAACTTCAAAAAACTCTGCATGCCTGTTACAAAATGCCTCAGACTGTATACTTTCCAAAACAGGGGTCATGTGGGGGATATTTGTACTGTCCTGACAATTTAAGGGAGTCAGCACATCAGGACTGATCAATTTTCATCCATAGTTTAGACACACTAACTTCCACACAAACCAATTATTATACACTTATTGGGAATTTTTTTTATACCAAAGACATGTAGCAGAACACACTTTGGCCTAACTTTATGAAGTAATTTGCACACAATTCATTGTTTATTGCTGTTTTAAATTAAGCTTTTCTTTTCCATGGAAATATAGATTTTTTCTCTTGAAACCCAGTTCTATATTTGAACCAAACATGGGCACCCAAAAAATAATTTTCTAATGTGCAGCACCTTGGCTAAACTTTTCTGAGTTCATTTTGTGTTATCATATCAAAACACTTGTTTGATCAATTTAATAACTGTCAAAACTTTCTAAACATTCAACATTGGAATGAACAGTGTTGCTAATGTCAGTAATATACAGTAAGTGAAATAAGCTACTATATAAAACTAATAACAGATTTATGAAGTAATTTTACTTTATTGGATATATTTTATAACAGAAAGTAAAAAATAATGTTTTTTCAAATTGTAATTCTTTTTTCATTTACAGTGAGGAACAGAAGTATTTGAACACCCTGCGATTTTGTAAGTTCTCCCACTTAGAAATCATGGAGGGGTCTGAAATTCACATTGTAGGTGCATTCCCACTCTGAGAGACAAAATTTAAAAAAAAATTCAGGAAATCACATTGTATGATTTTTAAAGAATTTATTTGTCTTGCACTGCTGAACATAAGTATTTGAACACCTGAGAAAATCAGTGTTAATATTTGGTACAGAAGCCTTTGTTTGCAATTACAGAGGTCAAACGTTTCCTGTAGTTCTTGACCAGGTTTGCACACACTGCAATAGTAATTTTGGTCCACTCCTCCTCACAGATCTCCTCTAGATCTGTCAGGTTTCGGGGCTGTCGCTGAGCAACATGGAGTTTCAGCTCCCTCCCAAGATGTTCTATTGGATTTAGGTCTGGAGACTGGCTAGGCCACTCCAGAACCTTGATATGCTTCTTACGGAGCCACTCCTTGGTTATCCTGGCTGTGTGCTTCGGGTCGTTGTCATGTTGGAAGACCCAGCCATGACCCATCTTCAATGCTCTGACTGAGGGAAGGAGGTTGTTGCTCAAAATCTCACAATAAATGGCCCCATTCATCCTCTCCTTAATACAGTGCAGTCGTCCTGTCCCCTTTGCAGAAAAGCACCCCCAAAGCATGATGTTACCACCCCCATGCTTCACAGTAGGGATGGTGTTCTTGGGATGCAACTCATCCTTCTTTTTCCTCCAAACACGACGAGTGAAGTTTAGACCAAAAAGTTCTACTTTGGTCTCATCTGACCACATGACTTTCTCCCATGCCTCCTCTGGATCATCCAGATGGTCATTGGCAAACTTCAGATGGGCCTGGACATGTGATGACTTGACCAGGGGAACCTTCCGTGCAATGCATGATTTGAAACCATGACGGCGTAGTGTTCTAACCAACAGTGACCTTTGAAACTGTGGTCCCAGCTCTCTTCATGTCATTGACTACTCCTTGTAGTTCTGGGCTGATTCCTCACCTTTCTTATCCTCAGTGATACCCCAGGAGGTGAGAACTTGCATGGAGCCCCAGTCCGAGGGAGACTGACAGTCGTCTTTAGCCTCTTCCGTTTTCTAACAATTGCTCCAACAGTTGATCTATTTTCACCAAGCTGCTTGGCAATTGCCCCGTAGCCCTTTCCAGCCTTGTGGAGGTCCACAATTTTGTCTCTGGTGTCTTTTGACAGCTCTTTGGTCTTGCCTGTGGTAGTAGTTGGCGTCTGACTGACTGTGGGGTGGACAGGTGTCTTTAAAGAGCTCAGACAGGTGCTACTAAGTTAGATTAATGAGTGGAGTTGAGGTGGACTATTTAAAGGCACAGTAACAGGTCTTTGAGAGCCAGAATTCTTGCTGTTTCTTAGGTGTTCAAATACTTATGTTCAGCAGTGCAAGACAAATAAATTCTTTTAAAAATCATACAATGTGATTTCCTGAATTTTTTTTTAAATTCTTTCTCTCAGAGTGGGAATGCACCTACAATGTGAATTTCAGACCCCTCCATGACTTCTAAGTTGGAGAACTTGAAAAATCGGAGAGTGTTCAAATACTTCTGTTCCTCACTGCATAAATTTAAAAAAACACCCAGTGGTGATCAAATAACACCAAAAAAAAAAGCTCTATTTGTGTTAAAAATATTTATATAAATTTCATTTGGGTATGGTGTTACATGACCGCGCAAATGCCAGTTACATTAGTACAGTGTCGAATAGCACAAAATGGCCTGGTTATGAAGGGGGTAAAATCTTCCGAAGCTCATGTGGTTAATGAAAATTTTTTTTTTTGTATCTTTTTTATACACTGATGAAATAAATAAATATATTTATTTGTATTTTTATTTCTTTATATACAATTTACAAATAGGGAGCGTTTTGTAAACATGAGAGTCACCCTGTTACAGGTGTGGTACAATGTTGTTTGGTGAATTGTAGCCTCATTTTTGTCATGTTTTCTAGTTTATAACCAATAAACAACAAAAAGTCCAGCAGTGTCTTTCACCTTTTTAGTATGGCTAAAAATTCATAGATTTACATTTAGCTATGTTAAATGGTCTGATATCTGCCTGCGCATTGTTCCACAGGAGATGTGAGGGAGATTTACTAAATCTGAAGATTGCAAAATCTGGGTGCAGTTCTGGTGCAGAAACCAATCAGCTTCCAGGTTTTATTGTGAAAGCTTCACTGCACAAGCTGAAGTTAGAATCTGATTGGCTACCATACACAGCTGCACTAGATTCAGAGAGCTCAAGTTTCAGTAAATGGCCTCCATTTTTTCTGCTATGGCAAACTTATTTTGCACTTGTAAGACAAAGCATGAAATTTCAACTGATGTCCTGAATAAATTAGTTTTTTATTTACTCCAGAAACAATTGAGTACTGTCCATGATACTTTTTTTATTTGCATTAACATACAATTTTGAGGACAAGCTTTCGGGGTATGTCCCCTTCTTCAAAGTCCAAGCAGTACTATTACAAATCACAAAGTTTAAGAAGAATGTTAGAAGGGATTGAGATCTACTCCATAAAGTATATATGCATATTTTCTTCTGCATGCATTTTTGTGCTTTGATTTTATTGTATTATTATTTTGTCCTCTTTAAGTAAACGTACAATACATTTTGAATACGAAAAAGGTTTTAGCCCTTTCTCTCTGTAACTGGTTTATCTCTAGGGGGCACTGTAATACAACACAACAGTCTATACTGAACCTTTTTTTGAGTCAGTATGGCATTTTACAACCTTTTTGCCTGTTGGGAATACCCTACAATTTGTTGTTTGGGAATAACTCTTTCCTAAAAAAAAAAGGTGAAATGTATCCTCTGTATTAAAATTGTAATGTTGTATTCATTTAAACATTCAATTTTTGCCTTTACTTATTATTTACATTTCTTTTAAAAACGTTTTTTTTTTTTCATGAAATCAGTAGATTGGCCTTGCTAACAAAGCTTACATTCAACCTGACAGCAGGAAACTGTCAAGTTAGGATTTTACATGCAGTTTTTATTCAAAACAGAGTCAAATTTCACATCTGTGGCATATTCTATAACTACTGTTAATGTAATGTAAGCAGAACATTTGCATTTAATTGTACTCATTTCAGTTTCAGATACATAGGCACAACGCTCGAGTTTCAGATATAGAAAGGGCTTTCAAATCAGTCCGAGTTGCTTCAACTTGTTTAGAATTTTTTTTTCAACGTTGTACACCAGAAAATGTAGCTATACAATAATTAGTTATAAGCTTAGATCTGAGAAATATAACCTTTAGCCATTGGTTAAAAA